GGCAGATGTACGCAGAGGGTTAAAACACACAGTAGCGCTCTTCAGAGACAGGGGTGCTTAGTTTGCTTTAAAGAGCTTTAGAAACAGTTCAAGACTTTTCAGAAAATAGGATTTATTACTAAAAAGGTCAAAATGGAACAATAAAAATATTTGCAGAAAAAGATGTAACCAATATATATATATATAAATATACAAAGAGCAATAACACAGCAAAGAGATAAAGAAAGAAGTTTAAGAAGGTAGAATACTTGCAGAAATCCTGGTTTAAGCAGCGTTCAAGTGTAAGAACAAAAGGGTACCGTCTCCCAAGTTGGTTCCGATGTTAAAAGGGAGATCTCTTCATCTTACTTCTCCAAGCATAATAGCCTTTTTCTAGGACCCCAGCAGGGTGTCTCCGTAAAGCAGAGAACCAATCACCTCATTTGAGGAGGGGGGTTTAGTTTAGGTGGAGACCCAGGCTATGACCAAATCCCTCACAGTTTATATCATGGTCAATAACCTTCCGTAGGTACATGTGGCATCCTATCCACTGGCAGGATAATATGCAGAATGATATTCTGAACGCCCAGACATCACATATGACATATCTGCCTGGGACGGTTAAGGAGATATCGCTTTCTGCTCTCGGGCAGACGTAATCTAGAGGTGTAAGGTATCAGGTGACTTGTATTAAAATGACCTCTCTGAATATATGTCTTGTTTCATGGTATGTATTACCTACGAGAAATTATGAAATTGTATGAAAAAGTGTTTTCACAGGGGATGCAGGTTTTACTGCTATTTCGGAATGCGTTTGAAGTCCAGTGACTGACGGGTTTGTAGCTTTACAATCAGCTTCAGAGCAAGAGTAAGACAGACACACTGGAATCAGCTAATTGGGTTTACAACCATGAAGGATATCCAGCTGTGTCCTGTGCACTCCTGAACCCAGCACTCAAAAGAGAGGGAGGGGGGAGCTGATTTGGAGTGAGAAATGATACAAGATGGAGGGTCTTTACCAAAATGGATATTCGTGTCCATATTTGTACGTACAATTGCTGCACACCATCTGCCTGTCCTCTCCGGGGCTCAGCTATGTCTCATTGTCTGCAAACACAAACACCACCCTTCACCAACCAATCCAGACACAGCATTTCCTTCACACACACTGCAAGAACAGAGTACAGAGGGGGGAACACCGAACATTTCCAGTCTGCTGCCCCACCCTCACATCGCTCTGTCAGAGACCACCAGGACCATCCTGGGGCCACCACTGACCCCCAGTACAAGGAGACCATATACAGAATGTTCCCAGATATGTCCAACTCTTCTCTGTACAGCGCTGCGGTATATGTCAGAGCTATATACATGTATAATAGTGTGTGACTGTGGGGGAGGGGACATTAGAGTGTAAGCTCCTCTGGTACAGAGACTGATGTGACTGTGGGGGAGGGGACATTAGAGCGTAAGCTCCTCTGGTACAGAGGCTGATGTGACTGTGGGGGAGGGGGTATTAGAGCGTAAGCTCCTCTGTACAGAGGCTGATGGGACTGTGGGGGAGGGGGCATAAGAGCGTAAGCTCCTCTGTACAGAGGTTGATGGGACTGTGGGGGAGGGGGCATTAGAGCGTAAGCTCCTCTGTACAGAGGTTGATGGGACTGTGGGGGAGGGGGCATTAGAGCGTAAGCTCCTCTGTACAGAGGCTGATGTGACTGTGGGGGAGGGGACATTAGAGCGTAAGCTCCTCTGGTACAGAGGCTGATGTGACTGTGGGGGAGGGGACATTAGAGCATAAGCTTCTCTGGTGCAGAGACTGATGTGACTGTGGGGGAGGGGCATTAGAGCGTAAGCTCCTCTAGTACAGAGACTGATGTGACTGTGGGGGAGGGGCATCAGAGTGTAAGCTCCTCTGTACAGAGGCTTATGTGACTGTGGGGGGGGGACATTAGAGTGTAAGCTCCTCTGGTACAGAGACTGATGTGACTGTGGGGGTGGGGACATTAGAGTGTAAGCTCCTCTGGTACAGAGACTGATGTGACTGTGGGGGAGGGGACATTAGAGCGTAAGCTCCTCTGGTACAGAGACTGATGGGACTGTGGGGGGGGGACATTAGAGTGTAAGCTCCTCTGGTACAGAGAATGATGGGACTGTGGGGGAGGGGACATTAGAGTGTAAGCTCCTCTGGTGCAGAGACTGATGGGACTGTGGGGGAGGGGCATTAGAGTGTAAGCTCCTCTGTACAGAGACTGATGTGACTGGCTCAGTGTTCTCTGTACAGCGCTGCGGTGTATGTCAGAGCTATACACAAATAGTAAATGATTGTAGCGTGTCATACATTGATAAAAGCAGGGCTCCTATTGGATGTGATGTGTATGTTGCTTGGTAGGTCGCCCCCCCCCCCAGCAGTAGATTGTTAGATGTTGTTCCTCTCTGGTCATTACGTCGTCTTGCTGTGTTATGGAAATCAGCGAAGTGTTTGTACAAGTTTCATTTTGCGGTTTCGGTGTCATTTCCTGCAGATGTTTGAGATCCTCCACACTCTGGGCCCCTCCCTCTCTGCGCTCAGCATGCCGTGCGGTGCTGAGTGTGTCGGTAATATGGGAGCCCTCCCTGGATCCTGTACAGTATAGACATTCATGTTTGGACGGATCAGATGACTCCGACCTAAATCAAATGTGTGACACCGTGCTTATTATTGTGTCTCATCCACTCTCCATTACCTGTCTGTCCGTCATCACCGGGCATAAAAATCATGGCTCAACGTGAGTGCAGGGCTCCGGAATATATATAATGGATCCATCACACTCAGCGGTGTTCAATGGCTCCATCACACTCGCCGGTGTTCAATGGCTCCATCACACTCAGTGGTGTTCAATGCCTCCATCACACTCAGCGGTGTTCAATGGCTCCATCACACTCAGCGGTGTTCAATGGCTCCATCACACTCGCCGGTGTTCAATGGCTCCATCACACTCAGTGGTGTTCAATGCCTCCATCACACTCAGCGGTGTTCAATGGCTCCATCACACTCAGCGGTGTTCAATGGCTCCATCACACTCAGCAGTGTTCAATGGCTCCATCACACTCGGCGGTGTTCAATGGCTCCATCACACTCAGCGGTGTTCAATGGCTCCATCACACTCGGCGGCGGTGTTCAATGGCTCCATCACACTCGCCGGTGTTCAATGGCTCCATCACACTCAGCGGTGTTCAATGGCTCCATCACACTCAGCGGTGTGTTCAATGGCTCCATCACACTCGGCGGTGTTCAATGGCTCCATCACACTCGCCGGTGTTCAATGGCTCCATCACACTCGGCGGTGTTCAATGGCTCCATCACACTCGCTGGTGTTCAATGGCTCCATCACACTCGGCGGTGTTCAATGGCTCCATCACACTCGGCGGTGTTCAATGGCTCCATCACACTCGGCGGTGTTCAATGGCTCCATCACACTTCGGCGGTGTTCAATGGCTCCATCACACTCGGCGGTGTTCAATGGCTACAGCGATGAGAATCATGACTTCCTATGCTGTGAGCTTTGCAGCTTAGAGAGAAGATCCATCGCAGAGATCTGATGACCCTTCCTGTGGCCTGCCGGGCCGGAGCTACACTATTCTGTGCCCCAGGCAAGACCCGCTACTCCCCCCCCACCCCGGAAAATGAAAAATAAAATACAACTTCACCTATAGTTCTACTTCCCCCCTCCCAGCACACATCCTCCTCAAATGTTCCACCCCAGCACAAATCCTCTCCCCTAAATCCCTCCTCCTAGCATAAATCCCCCTAAAAAACCCCCCCTCCTAGCATAAATCCCCCCTCCTAGCATAAATCCCCCTAAACCCCCCCTCCTAGCATAAATCCCCCCTCCTAGCATAAATCCCCCTAAACCCCCCCTCCTAGCATAAATCCCCCCTCCTAGCATAAATCCCCCTAAACCCCCCCTCCTAGCATAAATCCCCCTAAATCCCCCCTTCTAGCATAAATCCCCCTAAATCCCCCCTCCTAGCATAAATCCCCCTAAACCCCCCCTCCTAGCATAAATCCCCCCTCCTAGCATAAATCCCCCTAAACCCCCCTCCTAGCATAAATCCCCCCCCTAAATCCCCCCTCCTAGCATAAATCCCCCTAAATCCCCCCTCCTAGCATAAATCCCCCCTAAACCCCCCCCTCCTAGCATAAATCCCCCCTCCCCCCCTCCTAGCATAAATCCCCCTAAACCCCCCCTCCTAGCATAAATCCCGCCTCCTAGCATAAATCCCCCCAAATCCCCCCTCCTAGCATAAATCCCGCCTCCTAGCATAAATCCCCCCCCAAATCCCCCCTCCTAGCATAAATCCCGCCTCCTAGCATAAATACCCCTAAATCCCCCTCCTAGCATAAATCCCGCCTCCTAGCATAAATCCCCCTAAATCCCCCTCCTAGCATAAATCCCGCCTCCTAGCATAAATCCCCCTAAATCCCCCTTCCTAGCATAAATCCCGCCTCCTAGCATAAATCCCCCTAAATCCCCCCTCCTAGCATAAATCCCCCCTCCTAGCATAAATCCCCCTAAATCCTCCCTCCTAGCACAAATCCCCCCTCCTAGCATAAATCCCTCCTCCTAGCATAAATCCCTCCTCCTAGCACAAATCCCCCCAAATCAATCCTCCCAGCATCACTCCTCTTCCTTTAATCCCCCGCACAGTCTGGGTGGGGGGGGGGGGGCACTGATGTAAGGAGGGAATGAATACACTAAGGTAAGGGGGGACATGGATATAAAGGATCCCCCTTATATCAGTAACCCCCCCCCACCTACCTTAGTGTATTGATTCAGTGGATGGAGGTCTGTGGTCACCAAAGTAACCCCTCCCCACATCGCACAAATCCCCCCCATCCCCCTCTAGCACAAATCCCCCCTATCCCCCCCCTAGCACAAATTTCCCCCCATCCCCCCTCTCCTCACACAAATCCCCCCAATCCCCTCTCCTATTCACAAATCCCCCCCCCCCCCCCACATCCGGGGATCAGCTACTTATAGAGGGACTGCGGCGGGAACTGACTTGGTGTCACTGACATCCCCAGTGACACCAATACAGTGATCAGTGCTAATAAGAAGCCCTGACACTGTACTAATGGCACTGGGCAGGAAGGGGTTAACATGAGGGGCGATCAAAGGGTTACCTGTGTGCTGGGAGTGCTTCACTGTAAGCATGCTGCTATGCAGAGCCATACAAAGCAGTGTGCAGGAGCTGACAGGGGAGAGATCTGTACTGTTCACAAACAGTTCTCCTCCATCAGAGATGCTTGGCAATCACCGGGTGGCAGTAAGTAATCACCGGCCAGGATCCGGTGATTGACAGCCGCGGCCACGAATAGCAGCACAGGTAGGACACGTCTTGCACGCCCCCTATCCGGAAATGCAAAATCATGTATATATAAATGACTCTGTGCACCCCTGCACCCCTGCACCCCTGCAGCAGTACTTCTGCTATAGGGCGGACGGGAAGAGGTTAAGAGGTGGAAAATTTGGGGACCTCTTGATATCAAGCCAAGGTCAGGTAGACCAAGAAAGATTGCAGCCACAAATGCCAGACGAATTGTTCGGGATACAAAGAAAAAACCCCCCACAGGTGACCAAAGAAGAAATCCAGGCTGCTCTGGAGAAAAACAGTGTGGCTGTCTCAATGTGCACAATATGATGATACTTGAACAAAAATGAGCTGCATGGTTGAGTTGCCAGAAAGAAGCCCTTTACTGCGCCAATGCGACAAAAAGCCAGATTACAATATGCCCGACAACACCGTGACACGCCTCACAGATTCTGCCACACTGTAATCTGGACTGACGAGACCAAAATGGAACACTATGTTTGGAGAGGGGTCAACAGCTACAAGAATACCATCCCCACTGTGAAGCATGGTGGTTGACTGAGGTTTTGGGGGGGGGGTGTGAGCTCTAAACGCATGGGGAATCTTGTGGAAATCCATGGCAAGATGTATTATTATTTATTTATTTCAGGTACTTATATAACGCCATCAATTTATGCAGCACTTTACATATATATTGTACATTCCCATCAGTCCCTAACCCTCAAGGGGCGTACAATCTAAGGTCCCTAACCCTCAAGGGGCGTACAGTCTAAGGTCCCTAACCCTCAAGGGGCGTACAGTCTAAGGTCCCTAACCCTCAAGGGGTGTACAATCTAAGGTCCCTAACCCTCAAGGGGTGTACAATCTAAGGTCCCTAACCCTCAAGGGGCATACAATCTAAGGTCCCTAACCCTCAAGGGGTGTACAGTCTAAGGTCCCTAACCCTCAAGGGGTGTACAATCTAAGGTCCCTAACCCTCAAGGGGCATACAATCTAAGGGCCCTAACCCTCAAGGGGCGTACAGTCTAAGGTCCCTAACCCTCAAGGGGCGTACAATCTAAGGTCCCTAACCCTCAAGGAGCGTACAATCTAAGGTCCCTAACCCTCAAGGAGCGTACAATCTAAGGTCCCTAACCCTCAAGGAGCGTACAATCTAAGGTCCCTAAACCCTCAAGGGGTGTACAGTCTAAGGTCCCTAACCCTCAAGGGGCATACAATCTAAGGTCCCTAACCCTCAAGGGGCATACAATCTAAGGGCCCTAACCCTCAAGGGGCGTACAGTCTAAGGTCCCTAACCCTCAAGGGGCGTACAATCTAAGGTCCCTAACCCTCAAGGAGCATACAATCTAAGGTCCCTAACCCTCAAGATTCGTACAATCTAAGGTCCCTAACCCTCAAGGGGCGTACAATCTAAGGTACCTAACCCTCAAGGGGCATACAATCTAAGGGCCCTAACCCTCAAGGGGCGTACAGTCTAAGGTCCCTAACCCTCAAGGGGCGTACAATCTAAGGTCCCTAACCCTCAAGGAGCGTACAATCTAAGGTCCCTAACCCTCAAGGGGCGTACCATCTAAGGTCCCTAACCCTCAAGGGGCGTACAATCTAAGGTCCCTAACCCTCAAGGGGCGTACAATCTAAGGTCCCTAACCCTCAAGGGGCGTACAATCTAGGATCCATAACTCACATTCATACATACACATACTAGGGCCAATTTAGACAGGAGCCAATTCACCTACCAGCATGTGTGGTTTTGGAGTGTGGGAGGAAACCCCCAGAGGCACAGGGAGAACATGCAAACTCCAGGCAGGTGGTGCCATGGTTGGGATTCAAACCAACAACCCGAGTACTGCCAGGTGGAAGTGCTAACCATGTAGTCCCTGTGCTGCCCATGATAGCAGTGTTGTCATAAAATGCTGGCAGACAATTTTCATTCCTTTGCATGGAAGCTGGGCATAGGGCACACTTGGACTTCCCAGCACAACAATGACCCTAAGCACAAGGCCAAGCTGACCCTCCAATGGTCACAGCAGAAAAAGGTGAAACTTTAACCCCTTCCAGTCCGGACACTTTCACCACCTTCCAGTCTGGACACTTTCACCACCTTCCAGTCCGGACACTTTCCCCCCCCCTTCCAGTCCGGACACTTTCCCCCCCTTCCAGTCCGGACACTTTCCCCCCCTTCCAGTCCGGACACTTTCACCACCTTCCAGTCCGGACACTTTCACCACCTTCCAGTCCGGACACTTTCCCCCCCCCCCCCTTCCAGTCCGGACACTTTCCCCCCCTTCCAGTCCGGACACTTTCCCCCCCTTCCAGTCCGGAACACTTTCCCCCCCTTCCAGTCCGGACACTTTCCCCCCCTTCCAGTCCAGACACTTTCCCCCCCTTCCAGTCCAGACACTTTCACCCCCTTCCACTCCGGACACTTTCACCCCCTTCCAGTCCGGACACTTTCCCCCCCTTCCAGTCCAGACACTTTCACCCCCTTCCACTCCGGACACTTTCCCCCCTTCCAGTCCGGACACTTTCCCCCCTTCCAGTCCGGACACTTTCATCCCCTTCCAGTCCGGACACTTTCCCCCCCTTCCAGTCCGGACACTTTCCCCCCCTTCCAGTCCAGACACTTTCCCCCCCTTCCAGTCCAGACACTTTCCCCCCCTTCCAGTCCGGACACTTTCACCCCCTTCCACTCCGGACACTTCCCCCCTTCCAGTCCGGACACTTTCATCCCCTTCCAGTCCACTTTCCCCCCTTCCAGTCCGGACACTTTCCCCCCCTTCCAGTCCAGACACTTTCCCCCCCCCCCTTCCAGTCCGGACACTTTCCCCCCCTTCCAGTCCGGACACTTTCACCACCTTCCAGTCCGGACACTTTCACCACCTTCCAGTCCGGACACTTTCACCACCTTCCAGTCCGGACACTTCCCCCCCCTTCCAGTCCGGACACTTTCCCCCCTTCCAGTCCGGACACTTTCATCCCCTTCCAGTCCGGACACTTTCCCCCCCCCCTTCCAGTCCAGACACTTTCCCCCCCCCTTCCAGTCCGGACACTTTCACCCCCTTCCACTCCGGACACTTTCCCCCCTTCCAGTCCGGACACTTTCCCCCCTTCCAGTCCGGACACTTTCATCCCCTTCCAGTCCACACTTTCCCCCCTTCCAGTCCGGACACTTTTCCCCCCCTTCCAGTCCAGACACTTTCCCCCCCTTCCAGTCCGGACACTTTCACCCCCTTCCAGTCCACTTTCACCCCCTTCCAGTCCGGACACTTTCACCCCCTTCCAGTCCACTTTCCCCCCTTCCAGTCCGGACACTTTCCCCCCCTTCCAGTCCAGACACTTTCCCCCCCTTCCAGTCCGGACACTTTCACCCCCTTCCAGTCCACTTTTCACCCCCTGCTTTTACACCCATAAAGGCTGTAAGAGGAATCATTTCTTTATTACTTTAGACTGTACGCCCCTCGGGGGCGGGGACTGATGGGAATGTACAATATATATGTAAAGCGCTGCGTAAATTGCGCTATATAAGTACCTGTAATAATAATAAATAAATATTTCTCTTGGGCTCAGCGGCGGACTGACAACTCATGGGGCCCCCAGGCAATAGGGGATCATGGGGCCCCTGTGTCCTTGCCCAATCTCAAAAAAGCCTATGATAAAGGTACCAGGGGCATCTCATGGGGCCCCCCATACTGACCCCCGGGCCCTTGGGCAGTGCCCAAGTTTCCAAATGGTCAGTCCGCCCCTGCTTTGGCTGCATTCTTGAAGCCATTGAGAACTACTGTGTGAGCTGTGATTGGTCACAGCTTGTCACAGGGGAGGACTGACCATGTGGACACTCGGGCACCGCCTGAGGGCCTGGGATCAGTAGGGGGCCGCATGAGATGCCCCTGGTACCTTTCATTGGATTTTTTTCGGGTGTGGGCAAGGACACAGGGGCCCATGATCCACTATTGCCCGGGGGCCCCATGAGTTGTCAGTCCGCCCCTTGCTTGTCACATGGTACAAGGCTGCTGTGAATAGCCCTGTACCATGTGACCTCTGTGATCATTCACAGATTTCACACATAGTAAGCAACAGGGGCGGACTGACAACTCATGGGGCCCCCCGGGCAATAGGGGATCATGGGGCCCCTGTGTGCTTGCCCACAGTCAAACCACACCCAAAAAAGCCTATGAAAGGTACCAGGGACATCTCATGGGGCCCCTAACTGACCCTGGGCCCTCGGGCGGTGCCCGAGTTTCCAAATGGTCAGTCCGCCCCTGGTAAGCAATGATGTCAGAAGTTACATCTTTCTTACTACTCTGCATGTGATCACTGATTGGCCAATCAGTGATCACATGATCGGGACCTCGCAGAGAGGTCCCATACGATGATCGGTGTTTCCGTGTCCAGAGGACACAGCGGGCACCGGATCGCGATGCTGCGCGCTCCCAGGGAGCACACACAAGCAGGGGGCCAGGAAAGCCGTTTATAAACGCCCAACCGTCCCTGGACTGCCACCGTTCAGCCGTTTTATATATACAACGGCCGGACAGGAAGTGATTAATAAGCCATCACATAGTTACAGCAAGAGCAAGGTTTCGGGGCCACGCAGGACCCCTTCATCAGGCATGTGACAAATTGTGATAAAACAGAGAAACTATTTAAAGGACCATCCACCAATCAGTGCTCAGAAAATGAACCAAGCCCCGCCCCTTAATGTCATATTCCCGCCATATATATAGACCTTTGTAAACAACACAACCGTTCAAAGCCTTCATAAACGTTCTGCAAAACAGTAATGAGATATACCGAAGCTTTGCTCCTCCATAGAGCAGATATCACGGGATCAGGCG